TCCCCCGAGAACTCCACACTGGAAGATTAATACATGATAATTAATTGTATAATTACGATTTATACGGTAGCAATTATCATCATGTACTTATGGGTTGACACTTACAAAATTGGGAAATTAAAGATCCATTATAAGAGAAGATAAGTTGCTAATACGATGTTAAATAAAAAAACAAAGGTTAAATACATTTTTAAAACGAATCATTATATCTTAATCATTCGTTTTAATTAAACTTATACAGCTTGAAACTTTAACTTACCAAATTTATTTAGTATTAAAAACTTGTTCAAAAATTGTACCTAGGGTTTTGCTACAAAGAGAAAAATATTCTACGAAGACGTACTTCGAATCTACAAATTTGTTTTTAATATTTTAGATAAGGGTGTTATTAATCTACTGCCGTTTTGATGTAATTAAAACTCGATAATTGAGAAAAAGAGCCAAGAATTTTCACTTTATTATTCAAATGCAATATACTTGTAGTAATTATCGGGACGACACTTACGTTACAAGTTACGACGTTACTGATATTGATTTATATTTTATTGTTAATACTTATGTGTATTAATAAACTGAATTAACATAATTGAATCTCCTTCTGATGTAATTAAATTAATCTAAGGTAACGAACAGCCGGTACGTGTTGTGTACGTAAAAGACTCTTATTTCCATTTACAAGTGCTTTAATATGCGAACACTTAAAATTTCCGCTTACGGGTCAGAAAAACTGAAGCATATAGAAAAACATTGAAACGAAGAAATTCCATGTTTCCACTTTTCACTTGTTTTATTAGTCTGTGTTTTACATTTTGTGTTTGACTGTTTATTTATATTTGTTCCGTTTATATTCTACGCTTTTCTTTTTCTCAACGGAAAACATTTTTCCTACAACTGATGATAAATGAGATAGACAAAACAAGAGAAAAGTGAAAATACGGAATTTCACTTGTTTAGCATAAATTGCGCTCCATCTTTCAATAGCGATACAATTTCGCAGGATTGGGAAGTACTTTTTTTTGGTAACTCTAACTTAACTTCGTTACTTTCTCTCCACCTGTAACTGTAACTTAACTCATTGTCAGTTACATTCTTTCGATAACTAGTAACTAATTTGATTGTTACATTAATAGTTACTTTATTCTTTTTAAACCTCCACAGATCGCATTAGACCTTGCATTTGCACATAAAAGCTTTTATCGACACTTTACAATTCAAATGCAGATTTAATATTTTTATTTTTATTGCAAGAAAGTAACTGGAAAGTAATAATTCATTACTTTTTTAATACCTGCAACTGTAACGCGTTACTTTTCAGAATTGGTAACTTGTAACTGTAACTAGTTACATTTTTAGCGAAAAAACTGTGACTATAAGATACTTTAATAAAGTAACTTCTCCAAGCTTGCAATTTCGTATAATCTTTCTCGACTTAAGCAGTCCTAAGCAGAATACTTACCTTCAAAAACCAATTGTCAACAGGCATGCTTACATATTGGCGTTCTTGGTCTGGATATATGCACTCTCCTTGTCGTTACCGCCATTCTTCAATTGGGGAGCTTACGGCCTGGAGGCAGGTAACATATCCTGCAGCGTATCCTGGGAAAAACGCGATCCTGAAACACACAACGACACTTACATCGGATTCTTATTCGTTTTCGGATTCTTCCTTCCTATCATAATAATCACGAGTAGTTACTGCGGCATAATAAAGACTTTGAAAAACACAGGAAAACTAATTGGTGAGTCTTCTTCAGTTTTAAACAATAGTTTGCGCAAAAGTTAAACCACGCATAACTCCTCTCCGTCTAAGACGACGGATGCAATTTCTACTGAAAAAGAAAAAAAAGCGGAAGAATTGGTTCCAAATCGACGAAAGAACGCTCGGACGACATAGAAAAATATTTATTTTACCAGTTATTCTTAAGTTAACGAATTAATTTTGATCGATGGTATTGCTGTTTCTATTATCTGTCTCGTTTCAGGTGCGAGAAATAGGCGGGAGAAGAAAGTCACTAGAATGGTATACTTAATGATTCTGGCTTTTTTAATTGCTTGGTTGCCGTACGCCGTTCTTGCGCTCGCGACCCAGTATTTCAATGTAAGTATTCTTGTCAATTACGAAAAATTGAATATTTCAAAGACCCTAAAGACAGCTGTTGCGAAGCTAGTGTTTAATAGGTTTTGTCAGATTAATTATTCCAAATT